ATTTTCATCAACAATAGGTCAATGTCAAATGATAATTGGTAATGAAACATGGGGTTCAGTATCGAGTATTATAATTCATCCAGAAGGTGAATTTATTATAGCTGGATATCATTCAGGTTCTATACGTATATTTGATATACAAAATGGTACTGCTGAACAAGAATTTCATTATCACAAAGGTCGTATTAATCGTCTTAGATTTTCACCTGCATCTGGAAATATTTTAATATCAGCATCGGGTGATCATAATTCTCGTATATATGATTTAAAAGATTTAGGTAAAAGAACTGATATTCGTATTCAAACATCAATACTTAAAGGTCATACAGCAGCTGTTCTATCATGTGCTATGAGTAAATTGAATATGATTGCAACAGGATCTGAAGATGCAACAATATGTGTTTATATGCTATCAAAATATTTTGAACGTTCAACATATGAACCAAATGAAATTTTAACTGAACATCGTACACCAATAACTGGTTTAACATTTAATAATGAAACACATCAATTAATATCAGCTAGTCGTGATGGTCAAGTACATATATGGAATATACATCAATATTCATCAAAATCTGTTGTAACACTATCAAATACACTTGCTCATTGTCATGCTGATTGGATAAATGATATTGCTTTATCAAATACAACTAATGGTTTACTTGTAACTGCATCAAATGATAATACATTAAAAATTTGGAATACAATACCAAAAACAACAAAAACTGATGATAATTCTATGGATATTGTTTCAGCTAATGTTGAAGAAGCACGTGTAACACTTCGTGGTCATCAAGGCTCTGTTAATACAGTTTGTTTTTCATATGGATGTGTTATTTCTGGTTCATTAGATAATACAATTCGAGTATGGTCTCATAAAGGTACTGAAGTTACATGCTTACGTGGTCATACAGACAAAATAACTTCATGTGATTTATGGATTAAATTAAAAGGTGTCAGTATGAAATATGAAACCGATTCAGGTTCTAAATGGGCGAATATGGTTGAAGAACAAGAAAAAGAACTTTCACGTACAACACATACAGTTGATACAATGCTTGTTGTTAGTGCATCTGAAGATGGTTCAATACGTGTATGGCGTCCAACTGATCCTGAACAACGTTGTGTTTATGATGCACATGCACAACCATTAAATGATATTGTACTTAGTAATGAATCAATTGTAACATCATCACTTGATAAAACACTTCGTTCATGGCAAATTCCAACGAGTATATTTATAAATAATGATTCAACAACATCAGCAATGACTCCACAAGTTCCTCAACCTGTTAGTCATTTAGATGAAGTTACATCGATTAGTGTTTCTCGTGATAATTCTCTTGTTTTTACTGTTTCACGTGATGCATATCTATTCATTTGGTCATTATTATCATCATCATCATTAAAAAATGATGATTATGAAATGGATACAGATATGATGAAAAATGAAATGTCTAAAAAACCATTTCGTATTATACAATCAATTAAAGCACATGATGAAACAATTCTTGGTATGGCTTTGATTCGTTCAGATGCTCAACATCATATTCTTGTAACTGGTTCTGTTGATAAAAAAATTAAAATTTGGACAGTCATCAATAATCAAAATGAAGAAAAATGTTCAATAAAACGTTTAAGAACTGATACAACAACAAATGGACCTGTTTCATTTATTTCTGGTCAATATGATATGCCATATTTTGTTGTTGGTGAAAATCAATCTTTTGATTCACTTACATTCTATCTTTATTCATCATCTTCACTTGAACGCTTAAAAACATATAAAACACAAACATGTCAATGGCCATTATCATCATTATTAACATTAAATGAACATAAACATTGTATTTTAACAATTGGTTCAACAAGTAATGAATTATGTTCATATGATTTATCATTAATTGATTCAACAGATAGTAAATTATATGCATCATATTCATCAAAAATAGAATATCGAATATCAATTCCATCTGAATGGATAACATCAATAGAAAATCTTGATAATAATCAAGTATTCTATTTAGGTACAACAACAGGAAATATGTATTCAACATCAAATTTATTTAGTGATATAAAAACATGGAATAAAAATCAAATATCATCAAAACAACGATCAATTACAGCATTATGTTCAATTAATAATGAATTTATATTTACAAGTGGTTTCGATAATGTCATACGAGTACAATATAGAAATGATCATTCAAAACATATGAAAATAAATGATAATGATGAACAAGAAGATGAGGAAATTGACGATATTCTTGGACAATATCCTGTACCAGCACCAATTACAAAAATGCGTACATGGAAACAAAATAATAATGGAATATTTGGTGTTGTAGCTGGTGATACATTAGGAAACCTATATTTAGTACAGTGGTATTCGTCTTAACTGTGATCATATATCCTCTCATCCATTTTATTAGTTATTTTTTCATATTTTTAGTATACTTATAAAAACTAATTACACTTTCTACTATTGTATCATTATAAAATTATTTTATTTTCAATAACAAAGATTAAAAAAAAACACACACACACATACACTTATTATCTAAATTGCACGTTATTCAGATAGAGATGTCCATCGCGGCTGAGAATCTGTCGCGATCCTAAAGGAATCAAGACTACCGCGTCGCTGGCATCGTCATAGATATCTGTGTATCCAGGATAGAGTCTTGCAGGATGTAGATAATTTGCTCTGTCCTGTTAGCACAGGGTAGAGGCAGATTGCAGGCTACGAGCGTCGTAATCTGTCAACCTGCAACTAATTTTGCATATTAGATACTGTTGAAAGCTTTTCTAGAATTATACAGTAAGAAAAAAAGATAGAAATGAAAGTGAATTGATAATTAAATTAGATTAGTCGTCAAAACTATTCAACAGAAACAAATATGCTGCTAATCTATTCTTTATACGTATAGCTCTCAAATGTACATTTGATTTTTTAATTTTGAGTTTTTATTTTATTCTTCGAAAAATAATTGAAACAATTGATATTTAACAAGGCCATTCATCTGTAATATCTACAGCAAAGTTTTAACATTGCCGATAAAGAAGAAAAACGATTTAGTCATGCAAAATGATGCTATACAAAGATTTGCAGGAGATGTAAAAGAAAATTATGATTATAATTTTGATGAAATTGATCGTTCTATTAACAGCAAACTTTTATTTTCAAAAGATGATACCTTGTTACGATAGTGAAACAAGCATTCTTTAATATTTCCACAACTTGCTTTACCAGCAAAATCGTCGAAAGGTATTCATAATTGACATTAGCGAATCTTAGGGAAGAGCAAGTGATGAAATTGCATAACAACATAAGGAATGAAAAGATTTGACTATAAATAATACGTTTAAGATTAGATAAGTATCGGTTGATCTATAGGAATAATTTTTTTTTTGGAGTCCTTCCAAGTTCAACTACATCGGAATATGTTTTCAGTTCATCAGATCGAATTTTGAAAAAAAAGAAGACAGTAAATAAATCTAGATATTTTGATGATTAGAAATTTTTGAGATATGTAGCGTTGTTTTTTGTTTGGTTTATGATTGAAACCAATTAAATGAAATTACATTAAAAAAAACTAGTACAAAAATTGTGGATCTTTCTCTAGTACCAAACAGGACATATTGCAGGTTGTCAAGATAGCGTATCCTGCACCTTCTAATCCAGGATAATGGTTATAACATTAGTTTCAAAATGATAAAATACTTACTTTTCATAAATACAGTATAGTTCAAAAGTTTCGACTTCTGTCCATAAATTAATGTAATCTATATGAATACACGTATATTCAGATAGTTGAATGAAATACATAGTTTTGTAGAGAAAGATTAAAAATATAATCTCCAAAGAAAATATTAGTTCGAATTGTATTGACATCATGAAAAGTTATAGTTACTTTATTGATCATGAGTAAACATTATACATCTTACATTTTTCGCAAAAATAAAATATGCTTGTAACGTCTGTAGCGAAATATTACTTTCTAGAGATTTTTATATATTAGAGAGAGTAAGCTGAACTTTTAATAATTTTTGTTGATCTATTGTTTTGTCTGTTAATGCAGTTCGGAAAGGTTATTTTTAGCTTCAGTATGTGCTACTACATTTCAAACCATCAATTATCAGTCGATCAACTAAAGTTATTTTGAAAGTTAAGCATACTATCTCGTGCAATGCATGTGAGATTTTTATTAGTTTGCATAGCTTTCTCTATGTTTTGTGTTGAAAACAGAATCAGAAGTTTTTTCTTTTGATGTTCATATTCGTGTAGAGCTTGTCGAACTTTTGTTGCTGAAAAATGCAAGATGTAAAATGCTTAGTCATTTTTAATAAAGAGACCCATAACTTTTCCTGATCTCGATGGAATTCGAATTATTTTCTTTTCGAACAATAGCTTTAATTTATTTCTACAAAACTATGTATTTCAGCCAACTACCTACATATGTATTTGTATAAATAACGTCAATGTACAGAAAGGATTGAAACTTTTGGATCATCCTTTAGTATGACTCTCACGCATAGCTATGACCTTAATTTCGGTCTAATTCCAAATATATATCAGCATCTTCAATACCAAAACATGCCAAAAATGTACTGAGGGTTCCAAAATTGTACTTTCTCTCTTTAATTTAAATTCTCATTTGTTATTGAAACATGATCGTAGAACTGTCTCATTTATTTAAAGTATATGATGAATTTACATGCCCTTTGTAATCTAAGCATATACGAATGTTGTTATCACAAAACAAGAATAAACAAATAGCTTAATTCTACTTGCAAAATTTTAAAAATCTCTGTTTCAAATCGACGAATGCAAAATAATGATTATTTTCGTGTAATCATGAACATCGAACTAATAATTTTCAAATATTCTACCATTTTTTCGAGTCTTTCTTATTCAAATAATAATTTCTTTTTTTTTTTGCGCAGTAAATAAAATTGCATGTTATCTCGATTTAATGGTGATTTTTTTCTTTAATTAAATGAATAATAATCAAATACCTAATGAAGAATCTGAACAAATAAATCTATCTAATCGAATATCATTATCAAAAATTCTTGAAACAAAAGAAATTCTTATTTTAAATCAAGTTCCTATTCAACTTCATTCAGCTCAACAAGAAATAAATAATTTACGTCTTTTAAATATTTGTCTTCAATCAACATTAATTCGTGTTCAAACTCAATTAATTGAATATTTACCAATTAATATTCATGATGAAATAAAACGAAATGAAATAAAACAAAAATTAATTTCATTACGTCAAAATGATGATCATAGTCGACGAATTATTGATTCACAACAAATATCTTTTTTTCAAATAATTGATAATTTTAAAAATTTATTAGATATTAAACAAAAACAAGAACAAATTAATAATAAAGATATTTCATTAATAAAAAATGAAAAACAAATTGATATTTTATATGAAATGTTTCATGAACTTAATACTATAATACATACAGAACATAATGATAGAATTTGTCAACTTTATATTACATTAGCAGAAACATCTCATTCAGTAAATCAAACACAAGAAAGTAAAATTAATTTTTTTCTTTTTTTTTTGTTTTTGTTTTAAATATTTTCTTATAGTTCTTGATCATACAATTCATGCACATAAAATTATTACACGACGAAAAATGAAACGAAAAATTTTTTTAATATTTATTGCATTTATTTTCATTTCAATATTTATATTTATTATTATTATATCTATTCGAATACATTAAAATTTTGTCTCTTTTTCATTTCGATACATTTTTATTAATTGTATAATATTCATAATTAGACTAAGAAGAATAAAGATAATACCAATAATTACAATAAATATTACATCAGACATGATTTTTATTAAATGCGCGTTTATTGAAAAACATTAATTATATAATGTTACTTTTTATCTTGCTATAAATGAAACACCTTTACGAATAAAAATAATTCGTGTTTGAGGATATGGATATGCTGGATATTTGACAACTTGAAAAAAAAAACAAACAATAGAATTATTTGAGATAAATTCAATTTTTGAGTTATACTTACGTTTGATATTTTTTAAAATAAGAAGCCATTTTTCATTTGCATATGATATATGAAACTAAAAAGATTATTTTTTCTGTTCCTCAAAGATTTTTTTTTTAATGAGAATTAGACTTACACAAGAACCAATTGGATGATTAAAGGATCCACCGTATATACGAACGAACTCTTCAACTATATTTGTTAATGATCGTTTTCTAGATTGATTAAAATAATTGAGAAAACGACGTAATTTACCAGTTCTAAAGATTTTCTTGATAAACTAAAGATTAATTTAAAAAAAAAACTTTGTTTATACTTTCGATGTATTGATAACCAAATCTCAGAGATCCATGAATAATCGTTAGTAAATATCTGAACAAGATTATTATCGTATAGATGATCTTGACAATTGATTGCTAAATATTGATTATCAACATCATTGTCTATTAGACAATGATAAATCAATAATTACAAAAAGAAAAATGTTTTCAATTTCTATTTACCGAATTCTTCTTTGTCAATACAATCAAAATAGTTGTCTTATAAATAAAATAAAGAATTTTTATTATCAAATAATAAACTAACCTGTTTCATCATCAATTGAATCTTTGTCTAAAGTGAACAATAAAAACAATTAATAAAATTTCAATATGAATAAATGATATTGACCGATATTATTTTCAAGCCATTGTTGTAAAATCTCAATATGTCTATTGATTTCTTGTTTTTGATATTCAATAGGATAAGCTTGATGAAAATGATAATCATGATAGATTATTAATCGATTATTTTGTTCACCTTGAATAATTCAAAAACAAAAATACAGAAATTTTATTTTTTGAAAATTAAGACGCGATTCTTTAAGAAATATATTTGTTCATGCAATTCTATACTTCTACATACTTACAATACATATTGAAAATGAATGAGATTATAGAAGATATTATTATCTTTTTTTTTTTTGCACACATCTATATTGTAAACTAAAAATTATCAAATACATGTATACATATTATAAATCATGTTCTCTTATCTATCATTATAATAGATTAATATAAAGAATTATGATCTTGATATATGAATACTCTATTCTTCCATTTTTTTTTTCATAACAAAAAAAAGTTAATTCTTTCTTTTCTTATTAAAATTCAAGTTTTTTTTTCTATACAGATGAATGACTTGATTTATATGAAAATGTTTCTACTTCGTCTAGTTCTTCATCAATATCTATTGGTTTTATTGTTGTTATATGTCTAAAATTATTATTTGATATTGATTCTACTGCTGATAATCGATTATATCCTTTAGTAGATGGACGAGTATCATCAAATGAATTTTCTCGTTGTAATCTTTCATTGAAATTTGTATAATATAAATATGGCAAACTAATGGGTATATCAGATGTTCTTGTATCGTTCAATTCTTCGTCTTCATAACTCCAACGATGAGGAGCATCAATCAATTGTATACGATTAAATTTATCATAATCAAATCCACTTAATGTAGGATTACATGGTGAAAATTGATAACCCCATAAAAGTTCATTAGGTAAATAAGATGTACGAAAATGACATGAAAAACCTGTATGATCAAAAGAACCTTCAATAATAGCAATAATTTCAAAATGTTCTTTTTCTAATGTTGATTGTTGTATACCATAAAGTGGACTACGTGAATTAATAATATGTTCAACAATAGTTGGTCGAAGAAAAAATAATTGACCATTACAAAGATGTGTTAATTCCATATCATAGATTTGATGAGGAATTATTTCACCTTCAAGTGTTCGTCGTTGACGAATCATTAATAAACGAACAGTAGCAAATATCATTTGGGAAGTAGATAAGTTAACTATGTAAAAAAAAAAAAAAAAGAAATGAATTATTAAATTAATAATCTACGATTGACATGATTCATTTAAAATACCTATTCGAATTGTTAACGTTAATTGATTATCTCGTGATGCAATAAGTGCATAATTACTGAATATAATAAATTGAGATTTTTCTAAAAATATAACAAATATTTATCTATTATCATCAAGTAGTTAATAAGACTTGATCAAAATGATATATAAATAATTTTAAATTGACTTATTATGAAACAATGCAATGAGTTTAAATCAATATTTAATACACAATAGAATACAATAATGAATTATTGGAAGAGGTCCTAGACTAATAAAAATAATTTTCTATTATAGGAACATTCTTCGAAGATTTCTTTTGTCTACAATCTACTACGAAAAAAGTTGACTGCATTACTTCAGTTTTATATTAATTCAATAAAATCTACTTTTATCTTATTAAGTGTCAGAAGAACCTAAGACTTTCGATCTCTATCAATCTGAATCTTTTATTTAAGACGACAAAAAACAAAAGGAATAAATTTCACCTGTAGGTCGTGATAATTTAGTAAAAACAATTTGCGTGACAATAACTTGTAATAAATATCCAAGGGATGATTGAAGAGTTAATACAAGTATACCACCCATACATTCTGTTGTTATATATCTCGAACCATAACCAATTGTATGTTGAGTTTCAATCGAAAAAAGTAATGCACTTAAAAAATTATGTACATCTTTAACACATTTTTCTCGTTCTATTTTCAAATATTGTTGTGTATAATTTGTTTGATTATCTAATAAAGCTTGTTCATCTTCATTTAAAACAAAATCTCCATGTTCAATTGAAATGAGAAAATAAAGAAAGGCAAAAAAAAACCAACTTAGTATAAAACCAAATAAAACAAATGTTAATACAAGCCACCAGTCAGATTGCATGATAAATAAAATTGCATTTGAATGCATATGTTTTACACGTCCAAATGAAGAATATATTATATTTATACGACCATTCTTATCCATAAAACGAAATCCATTATTTGATGTTCTATTTGAAACAGTATCATCATTAATATTTGCAAGATGATATTTTGTACTAGAACGACTGACTAAATCCATGATATTGATTAAACTCAACTTTTATTTTGTCTTTATTGTAATTGATAAGATGGAAATGAATAGATAAAGAAAATAGATAATTTTTTTAATCTTTTAAGTTCACGTTTACACATCCATTCATCAAAACTATTTCCATATATTAACCTTGCTTGCTTATGCAATATATTTATCTGTTCTGTTTTATCTTACAGTCAGCTTATTGTTCATGATTGACATTGTGTATCATAAAAAGGCCGGATCATACATTGATATTCATTCGTCCTTCGGTTCATTGTAAATATGAATCACCTGAAGTTTTTTTTTTTGATTTTGTCCTCTTTATTATTACACTCGGAAGTATCTATAACGAATACTATAAGCATTCACAGCTGCTTCATTACATGATTATAAAAGTTATTATAGTGCACACAGAGACAAGGCAAAAAATTGATTTACAAGATAGCACACTAGATAAATAAAATATGATGAGAAAAAGTGACTTGAGAAAGCAATAAGGAAAAAATGAAGAGAAGATAAAATGAACGAAAGAGGTTATATGAAGAGAAAAAAAAATAAGAAGAGAGAATAGAGATAAAGAATAACAAACAAAAGCATAGCAGGTTTCACATGGATAAATACTCAAGGCACAGAAGAAGCAGCGATGGATGCCTTGAACACATATGTTGCAATTATTTCATTCGAAGGAATTGTCCAAGGAATTCACTTTTACTCTAATGAAATAAATCTTGAGAAGGCATACCAGTGTAAAAAAATTGATCGAACTAAGTCTGATTTTTTTAAAATTCGTTTCAGTCTTTTTATTATAAGTCAATGTACTTAATCTTGTAATGATACCACATTGATAATTCGGAGAAGATTTATTGCCCGCGCAAAAGGACAACGATGAAACAACCTTATTCAATTCATGGATTTTCTCAAAAGCGCTGCTTTTTTGTTTGGGGTAAAGAGAGATAGAGAGAAAAATCTGCACTACTTCCTTAGACAAATTGATGAATTGTTTTCATTTCTTGAAATACTTCGATATTTTTTCTTGATAAATCGATAAAACTTGAGCAGAAAGTAGGCACTCAAGACTAAAACTTCACTATTCAGTTGGAACTTGATTGTTGATTTCTGTGCGGTGCTTCATTTTATCTAATATAATTTTTCCAACAATTTTGTATGTGTTGCTACTAGAAGTGAAACCAAACGTGTCTGATCATAACGAAGTACTTCTAATTTTAATTTATTCAATGTAACTATATTAGCTGATTTTTGAACATCGGAATATCTGTGTTTATTCAACCAGGTATCAAAGCAGTGTGTTAGACAACTTATGTAACTCGGTGAAAGTCATCTGTTCATAAAATTGGATAGAACATTGAAGTCAGACGACTTTGTTGATTCTAGTTTTGATAAAGATCTCTTTATCTCCGTAACATTCATTGTTTCGATCTTTTCCTATAATGTCTTTAGCTGACTCATTAGTTTTTGATAGGCTGTTTCAATTTGCACTTCGCGATGATCTGATATATCAGAATCTTGTGCTTTGAACTGTTCTGTATAGTATCGAATGAGCTCGTTAGTAGCTAATTTTGAAAAGGTTAGTAATTTAGGTTTATATACCCTAGAGAGATATGACTAAAGCGCCTCTCTGTATTATAGTGTGTTTCTTGAATTGAGAACACAAACTTTTGCCATTTATTCCATTTAGATATTTGACATTCTTATTTTACACTTTTCATGTCATTACACGTAGTAGTATGTTGTGTTCTGCAATCCGTGAGTCGAACATTCGCACTTGCACTTTGGTACAAGTATAAGATTTTCAGATACAGGTAGTTAAACGATATGAAAAGTAAATTTTTGAGAAGACATATGTTTTCTAAGCACTATTGTTTGTAAAAAAATTGAAAATGTGTGTTTTCAAACGCGACTGTTTAATAGTGACATCCTTGGTTACATGGTTGTTTGGTTCTGCTGCTAAGATATAAGAGCTGTAAGCGACGTACGTATTTGTAATGAGCCAGTACAAAAAAATGAATATTTATTTTCATTAATTATCTCACGTTGATATTCTATCAAACACTTGTAAAATATTAGCGCTGTCTACAATGGAAAAACGATTGATTAAAAAAATGCTAGATAGTATTGAATAGAGATCTTGTAATAATCTGACAAATGTCATTACTAGATGGTCGAACCCATTTAATCGTCTTGAAAATGATTAAAAAAAATATCATTCCTTATATAGAATATGTTCAATTTAAAACCATTTCAACTTATGATACACAGGAACCCAGCTCGACAAGGCTTAAACTTCATCATAAAAATCGCAAAATAAAATCTATTCGAGCACCTAAAATTATTCTTTGTACAAATAAACAATACGATAGAGTGTAATCTGAACAAAAGACTGAAGTACCAAGTACATATGGAAATTTTTCGGTATATAACATGTGGTTATTTAGCGTTGTCAGCAAATATGAATCTAAAGTAATGTCTCAAGCTCTACTCGATATTGGTTATTTCAGTAATCATAAAATTAAAACTTTGCATATTTTACCTGATCTGACAATCGTATCTTCCTGTGTCCAATCTGCAACTATTGATAGAAGATATAAAAATAATCGTTAAACGTATATATTTTACAATTATGTACGAATAAAACAAAAGTATTGGTCCGTGAATAAAATATTAAACTAACTTTACGAATAGTGCTTACGGGCAAATCACTTTTTTTAAGGGTCATGTACGACTATAGAAAGTTGCGTCCTTGTAGTACTCTAGTAGTATTCTTGTCTCTTCGTTTGTGCTGCGCATTTTCTTCTCTTCATAATACTTATTTTTCATCATTTTCATATCTTTCAACCACTAAATAATGTACGAAATCAGTGCTAGTCGGAACTTTTCTTTTTCTTTCTATCATGTAAGTCTGTTGTTTTAAAGCAACAAGAAAGCCAATGTAGCTCACATACCATTTATCAACATTCTTCTTATTTACTTCCTTCATCCAAAAATCTTTTAAGAGTATGAGAATAGTTTCATACACCTTTCAATTCACAATTAAGAAATATTTTTATTCTTATAAAAATCAACATTTTTACAAATAAACATTTGTAAACATCAAAATGAATGTTTCTGTTCGAACGTTTTGTAGAATGCGACGTTGATAGAATGTATCACCGATTGTTTTTGTTTTTCTATGCATTCCTTTAAACTTCTGTTGCTTTTATCTTATGCACACCCACACCCAATTCTTGCATGGATGCATTAAAATCACCAGTGATGATTGTATTTTCAATGATGTATGATTGTAAGTCTTCTAAATCTTTAGTCTGTACTGTCGATCAGTAAAAAGCAATTATTTTAACTGTTTCAGTGAGTCCATTACATCAATAATAACTTTGTTTTCCAGATTACAATGTGTTTTTGATGCTTTCAAATGTTTTCTTACTGCTATACATGCATCTCCGCTTTTATTTGTTTCATGTTGATAAAAAATATTAAATTGAGATATTCAATATGTATTCCACAGTTTACCAACTCCAGTAAATACATAAAATAGAGACACTCCTTTTATAAAGAATGTTTTAATGGAAAAAATTCAAAAAGAGTTGTCCTTTTTGTACTTTTTGAAGTGACATATTTTTATACTGTGTCAGGATATTTTCTTAAGAACTTGCCTTAAGTCATTCTGCAAGAACTTTATCCACTAGTTTGTGATCTTTTGCCTGGAAGCCTGATTGACAAAAATGTTATATCGATGTCTCTTTAGGATTAACTTTTTTGAAAGGAGAAAAAAGATTTGGCATCTGCTTTCACTTTAAAGAACATAGTATCCATCTAAATGCTCATATTTTGTTCAAATTCATTCTGTGACGTGTTTGCAATTGCTTTCGACGGATGAAATGAAGAGAGACATAGAAGTGGCAATGTACTACGCTTTCGTCGAATCGTATTATTGGATTGCATACTTAATAATAATATAGTCAAGTTATTATGTAAGTTTTGCAATTTCTGCTGTTGATACCGCAATCCAACAACATTAAAACTTGCATCATCGATCAGATTAAATCGCCAAATAACAATTCAATTGTAGACAGTAGGTTCACCAGTGCTTCTTGATATAATTTGGTGTCAAGAGCTACTTGATTGATCCTTGCATTAATACGATCTAAGCTTTTACCCATATGTTACGTACTTCCCTAGTGAATGTACTGAACTAAGGATACTTGAAAAAGTACCCTGCCACCAGTATGTCACAGGAACTTTCGGGAACTGAAGTACCTTAAAGTACTTTTAGGTACGTATAAAGTACTGGAGCGGGTACCCTGCTGAAAAGCGTCTAGTGAATGGGTACTTGAAGGTACTGATCAAGTACTCAACTGGGTACTATTGCACAGTATTTTTAAGTATCCTGTTACCAAAATTGAAGTATGTTGATGATCGAACCTAACCTTTGACTTTTTTCATTTTTGTTTCTCTCAAAGAAATTTATTACATTTTTTTTCAATTTTGTTTAATTTAATTTTTCTAATTTTGAAAATTCAAGCAGGTCAAATTTCTGAATCTGACCGGACCTCAGTTGATCGGATCTCCATCAGACCACTTCAAGGTAGTCTTCTCTCAATTTACAATCGAGATCGGCATGTTCTCGACTAGTAAATAGTCGAGAAATAATCTGGAAAAAATTCGTATGAAAAAAATATTAATTTCTTATGTTTTGTCGAGTTGTTTATATGAAGCCGTATGTGCAAAAGAAAATAGTGAATGAACAATTGCTGGACCGAACGCGACAAATCTAGGATACCCTGTAGAGCGTTCCTCAGTAAAATTACAGGTGTGGGTACCCATACAAGTACTTGTTCAGTAAACATACTGATATAAGTATTCAATGCAGTACCTACATCAGTATAATTACTGAGATTTTTCAAAGTATCCATATCAGGTACCTTGCTGAGGCTTTCTCAGTACATGGGTACCCTTAACTAAGTACATTCACTAGGATCTCTTTCATATTGATCATATTTTGATTCATCAATCACAAGATTTTGGTTGTATCTTCATTAGCTGTTGTTAATGATTGTAATAGAGCAGATGTCCATATAGCAGTATGAGACATTAGAGATTGTAATGATAGAGATTCGTCTTGGTTCATCTGAAATTGTATTGGCTAAGCATGATTGTGAGATACTAATCGATGTAGTTTTCCTGTAGATACTGCCTTGTTAACTTGTTCTTTTAAATCCTACGTATATACAATTTATTTTCCTATTTACTAAATAAAGAATAGTGATGGTCATTATATTGAACACAACAAACCATGTTCTAACACTCCGTGTTTGACTATCAATCAGACTATTAAGACAGGGACGATAACTAGGATGTTCGCGATAGCATTCATCTGACATATGACCTAGACACTAGCATTGAGTACAATATATTGTACGATTACCGATCAGAAACAGTGTAATAGCGCAGAAAGTATTTCTAATTCGGCCTATTTTTAATGCTGTATTACATTTGCGAAGATCTTTATTAATAAATCGAGAGTCATTTGTTCTTCGTTGGAAACGATATTGAATACGTCTAACATTTTCAGCTAATTGAAGTTTTCGTTCAATTTTCATCTTCGACATATTTATCATTGTCGTGAAGTAGTACGTAACGAACAACAAGAGCAAAACAATCATAGAAATAAATTTTGACTTAATTGCTGTAATGTTGATATTAGTAATTTGAAACAGTCATTTATTAGTAAACATAAATGGTGCGTATGAGTCGTTTTTTGTTTACCCGTATTTTTAATTTACTACCCATATGACCGACGAGTGAAAACGTGACCGAAGCTTTTTGTTACTTGTAATATTCTTCACATATATATCAGCTACTGTTAAATCGGATGGTCAGTTCTTTGTACTCACGGCTAAATCATATTCAATCACTAAGCATGGCAAGTTGTTTGAAATTTTCATATTTCAACTGTTCAAATGCAAGACAACATTGTTAATTTTCTAATAATTCCTGCTGGAGTTGAATTTATTGTGGATTATTATTCGACAGACGTAGAGACAGAAGTTATTGATAATTTTATTCGACTAGTAATTTTTGTTTTCCGCTCAATAATACACATTACTGTACTAATCTCTACGTTCCATCATTATCACTAACATCTAAGTTCCGTTTAGATGTGTGTGAGATGTAGATGATTCTAATTGAGTATTAAAACATTGCAGATACGAAAAATGAGTATGGTGTTGGTGAACATCGTGTTTTACATTGGAATTATGGTGAATGTGCATAATTATTCCTTCCAAATTGTACGTAGCTGCTGTAATGTTTCTAATCGTTGTTCGTTGATCATTATTTGTTAGAGTGATGATAGATGAGTAAATTTATTGCTAATTACACGATGTATATGTCTTATTAGTGCGATAATTCTCTTCTCATTAGAATAAGAAGAGGAGGATAACGGACGTTAAAACAAGAATGTAAGCAAGCACTTTTATATTTGCTCTCGAAAGAGGAAAAAGAAAACATGAGAGTGCACTCGACTGTTTGTTCAATGATAAATTTTTAGAATTTGTATTGAAAGGATATCTTACAATAATAAAGATTTCTTTCTCGATATATCTCATGATTGATATATACAAACATCATTTTACAAGGGCTATTTATAGATTCTTTTAATGTTTATGTTTGATACTTCTTGTCATTTGAACAGACATATGAAACGTTCGTAATTGGGTTTATTTAACTGTGAAGTTAAATTTTAATTGATCAATTTCATTCATTGCTCGACTGCTCAATATTCTACGCTTTTTAAAAATAGAATTAAAAAATCTGATGTATATCAACTCTTTTCTCTGTCTTGTAGAATATCTCATCAATTAATACAAATTTATCATTTAGTCACTTCCTCATTTTTATTTTTTTTATAAAAACATTTTCAAACAGGACTTAGCATAATACTGCCATCTGTGTCGTTTAAAAAAAGAAAATCTTTGGTAAATATCTTTTGGGCTAATAGTGTAAAAAAAATAAATAAATAACAATCGTTTATCACGAATGGTCTACTCTTTCCTTCAATCAAAGAACGAGATTCATTTAAACGATCGTCCAATAAAAATGATTGATTAGAAAAACAGTCAATCAAAATGAGGGTACATAAAGACACAAATAAAGTTTACAATGGAGTAAATACGTGAAAAGACCTATTCTGTCAGTTAAGGAAAAAAACAAATATTTTATTTCTCAACTTTATTGTTATTTTTTATTATTATTTTATTTTTAAGATCTATTTTTTTGCTATTTTTTTTTTCATCTTGTTTATCATCATAAAAATTGTTAATATGTCCTGTTAACATCTAAAGAAAAATAAATCAAATTATGTCACCGAATAATCGATTTTTTTCACGGTTTTTTTCTCGTTTCTCAACTACCAATAATGATCATCATCGAGCTCATCAACTTGTTAATACAGAAGATGAAATAAATGTTGATGATCCATCCGAACAATCAATAGTTGAAGAACAAAATCTTGTTTCACAACCAATAATACCAATTACAACAAGAGTGCATTCATCATCATCCATATTAAAACGATATGAACGAAATTATATTTCAGCATCATGTAGTATGTTTGCTATAGCTGCATTAGCGGTAAGTCTATCTGATTACCGATGGCTCTGGTTAAATGGTGGTTTATG